CCATTTCCTCATCTGCTGAGGTTCTTGCAGTGCTCACAAGAGGAGGAAGAAAATAAAAATCAGTGACGTAATCACGTAAGGAAGGAATAAAGGAAACTGCTTGTTCTCAGCTCTGCCATTAGGGCCACTTATCCACAGCCTGATACCCCAGGGCAAAAAGAGACAGAGAAAGGATATTAATTTTGAGCCAAACATAAGCTTTATGGCATGGTTAATATTCAAATGTGTTGCTGCCAAATGTGCTGTGGTTACCTTCATGGGCTCCTACTTTGCAAGTCTAATACAGCTGTTGGAGGGGAGCAGAAGGGACAGGTGAAACTAAAAATAAAGCAAACTTCCTTCCTCTATCTTTTTAACTCCCTTCACTTAATGTTACTTCTACACAGAAAGGATGAAAATTACTATTGCTTTTATAATCTGGTTATTAAATGTGCTACCCCTCTTCAAATACAGCACAGCCTCCATGAATCTCAAACTTTACAAAACTTTTGCATTACAAAATATGTTGTTAGCATAATCCCCTTTCAGCAGAAAGTTGCAGTGGGTTATTGAAACCCCTCCAGCAGCACAAGGAAAAAAGCTTTGTCATCCTGTCTCAGGCCAAGGCTGCACTGAGCAAGTCACAAGCTACAGCTCGTTTCTCAGTCTGAGCTGAGAGTCAGGTCTTACTTGACTCACATTCAAGTTTTGGCCTCTGTTGCACACCCAACATAAAATTGCCAGGAAGGGAAGGGGAAGGGATCTATCAGTGCCCAAACATTTTTACCAAAGGTCATGTCTGCCTTGCTTTAAATTAGATGCATTTTCACTGACCTTCTAAAAATGCCAGGTCTCATCCAGTGAAGCCAATTTAACTCAGGATATGAAGGTGAAGGACAATTAAATATATATGGGAAAACTCCCCTTCAAGTTTAATCTGTTTTGGTTAGATTGGGCTAAGACAAATTTAGGAAGCTGTTGTTTTTCCCAGAGATCATTCATACAGATATTTCTTGCCATTTATTTATTTGTTAAAGAGTATATTTCCATTGAATTTCCTGAGTGTTCCTCTACAGAAAAGCCCTCCTGCAGGTGTCATTGATCCATGAAAGCCTTCAAGCAAAAGCTGGCAGGCTGGAGGTGCTTGGACCTTTATCTCAGATACTGACTGGGATGGAGATCCCACAAAGCCCCAACTTCATCATCTGCATCATTCTTCTCTGCCTTCAAGCATTCAAGAAACCATGAGTCCATGGGACCCTAAAATGCTTGAGAAAAGAGAGGACAATCCATCATTATTTCCACGTTCTAGGGGACAATTAATGATTTTATTAGCAAAGCTATGCAGAAATCCTAACTGCTTGTGTTGGTAAAAGTTAACCTGGAGATGCTGATGCCACATCGTTTGCTCTTCAAAAAGTCACTCTGTCCTGTAGCAGATGCCGTGGGAGTGTGTTAACACCAAAGCAGAGGGTGAGCAGAGAGAATGGTGCCTTATCCCCCCAGCACAGGGCAGAGGAAACACCCCTGAGATGTCAGGCAGGTGTACAGGTGGATCAGTGAAAAGCCTTCACCCAGCTGGCAGGTACACAAGGGATCTGGGTGGAAGGATGCACCACAGGAACTGACATGCATTTATTTTGAAGGATGCACCCAATGTAATTTACTGTCACACGGCCTCACTGCCAAGAGGAAGAGAAATACTTCAAATAACGTGTGTGACCACTGGAGGTCACTTTGGGTTTAGAAATCCTCCAGTTTAGAGGCCTTTTGGCAGCAATACAGCTTCTGCAAGGGCAGAAGGGAGCACAGATGGAGTTTGCAGCTTGTTCACGAAAAGTCATTAGAAAATATTTATTTCGTATCAGGATATTTTGTAGCCCAAGGAATTCTAGCGAATTATCTCAATGAAACAGCTGTTCTCACTACATTCTTTTCCATCTTACAGAGTTTTGCAATGTGGCTACTCTGGCCTAAAAGACAATAACATTAAGAAATGAATGAATTGAAACAACAACTATAGGATGGGGTTAGAATGGAAACTAACATTGTTTGTGTGTGTCTGTGGATATGCAAACACATTGCTGGCTGCATCTCAGTGCAGGTTTTGCTCAGCAGCTCAGGCAGGGCTGCTGGACCTGCCCTCTGGGCTGACCAGCCCTCAGACTGTGGCCTTGACACGCTGCAAACTCCTGCTCCAGGTCAGAGCCAGCTTTCCCAGCACACTTCAAGGAGTAGGAGAGCTGGAAACAGAAGCCTTCCTGGGGGCACAGCAGCTGGCAGCCCTGCTGCTCTTTGCCTGCCACCTTCTGCCCTCGCAGCCCTTCGTCCCTGTGGACTGGGCTGAACTTTCACATCTATATTAAGACAGGGCCCTCTGAGACATGATCTCCAGACACAGAGAGCTTGCTGACCTCCTGCAGCCTGCTCTAAACAAGCTGCCAAAGGACTCGGTCTGCAGGGACGTGCTCTGGGGGCTCAGGGGGCAGCACAGGGGAAGGTCTGAGCAGGAAAGGTCCCACAGCCAGAGACACCCAGGTGTTTCTGGCTTTCCAAAGAAATCAGTGCTAATTAAACTATTGCCCTGGAATTTGGTAAACCTAGGACTGCCTGCAGCCCCGGGGGAGTTGCAGTGTTCTACCAGTGACCCAGTGGTTTGCCCTGGGGCTGGACAGGGGCTGATAGGAACTGGCCCTGGAGGAGCCAACCAGCCCCCCTCCCATGGCAGCATCCCCTGCAGCTGCAGCACCAGCAGCAGGTGGCAACTCGCTGGCTGCAAGGCTTTGCATTCCTAGAAGGCTTCTTTCTCCCAGAGGACCTCACAAGATGAGTTTCAGGCTTTTAACTTTAAAGGGAAACCAGGGTTACAGTTCTCAAGTGTGCCCATCTCGTTTGGGTACCCACTACAAGTGGCTCAGGGGGGGATTTTTACAGATGCTCAGACCTGCTGGTTCAGGTGAAATTTGTAGAAACTCCCCTGAACATGAAGGCCTTGAGCTGGGATCTCAGAGCAATAAGTGGTGGCTGCATCATACCTGTGTGGTCCTCTTACAACATCACAGTAAATCAGAGGAAGTGTTTTGAGGTCTAAGTGCTTACAAAAACAAATGTTGGCTTCTGGAAGTATGTAATTTTTTTTAATCACATACTCCATTTCAAAGCCCAGGGCTCACACATTTATCCTTGCATACCTAGGGAGCCTTTTTATCAAAGAGCTCTTTGTTATGAGCTTTTGGCATTCTCAGCTAGATGTGTTCTCTCATCCTCTCCAAGTCCTCCACTTTCTCTGTGCAGTCTCCTGACATGCAGAAGCCCTTCAGTGCATCTCTGGAGGCAAAAGGTCCTTTTCCCAAGTCCTCAGCAGAAGCCCAGAGTCAGCAACTCCCAAAGGCCAATAGCAACAGTTTCAAATGATCTCTAGCACATCTATTTCTGTCAGAAATCCAATATGCTTTATATGCCAAATAACGCTGTTTATTTAACTTTTAATAAGACTTACACATGTGTTGCAGCTCCCATGGAGCAATGGGATTAGCATTTCCCTTGGCAGTTTCAGAGACCTACCTGTGAAGGAAATTTCCAGAAGGAAACCTAAGCTAAAGTAGACATCATCCAAATGCAGCAGTCAAAGTGGTGTGTGGCACATCTCAATTTTTAATAGAACTGATGGCCAGAAACCCACTGCTGTTTGAGGTTTAAAAAAATAAAATAAAATAATTCCTGCCTTCTGTGTTCACACTCAGAGTTTGGTTTGTATTGAGTGTAATTTAGACATTCCTTAGCACTGAAACCATCTGCTAACTATTCAATACCCATCTCTCCACAGCCAGACTCCTTTCTGCTCAGTCTGTAGGGGATTTTCAGTGGAAACAGAATATATATAAACAGAAATATATATATAAATAATCTTCCTACTCTTCAAAAATACATTCACCAGCGCACAAATACTGCAGCCAGGAAACCCGTGTCCTGAGAGTGAGAACAACTGGTGCTCCTTCTCATCCTCCCAGTGTGTTCCTCTGAAGATGGGACTATTTTGAGTCCACATTCCTATCATTAGCTAAATCAATGTTCAAAAAGCAGTAGCCTCTGATAAGTCCTTGGGCAGCTGCAGGAAACCTCTGCCCCGTGCTCACACACACGTTGGTGCCTGACCACAAACACTGCAAAGCCATTGCAAACATTGACATTTCTGAAAAAAAACCCCCATAGATCTGCATGTCTATAAAAAGATATGGAGATCTAAGGTTATCACAGAAAACCATGAACGCTAAGTTAAAGACATAATTGTGTTTTAATCACCTCAATGTGTTTTCTTTGTTTTGTTTTGTTGTGTTTTTCAGTAATGTAAAGCCTTGGTTGTACCCCCTTGCTCTTCCCCTGAAACCTGGGAGAACTCCCAGACCCCTCAGCAGACTGTTCCAGTTCCCACGCCAGGACCCTTTGGAGTGAAGGCATCTTCTGCCTTCCCAGCAGAGCCCACCAGAACACGGTGCTGACCCACAGCCTCCCCAGCAGCTGGAGGCCCCACACACAGGTCTCACAGCCCAGCAACCCCAGCCACTGCTCATGGGCCATCAGTGCAGACTGGCTGACACCAAGGCAGCTCCCCTCTCACTGCAAGACATTTCTGTGTTAGTAGCAGGGGTCCCACTGGCTCTTTTCTCCATGCAGACCCTCAGAGCAGACATGCCCACTGTTGTTTACACTCGTTTCCATCCCACACACCTGAAGGTGTCTTTCAGCAGAGCTGCTTCACACAGCCCAGGGAAACCAACCGTGCAGAAGCAGCCAGGTCTCCTTAGGGCATCTGACAAACACAGCAGAAGCAAGAGAAAGTTTGCCCCATTCAATCCTCTTTCAATGCTGACAGGTAGAACCAGACCAGGCCATCAAACCACTGATGGAACACAAACTTCAACAGCAGACTGAAAAAGTTCTGTCTAAGATTGCAGAGCACAGCTTGTTACTTGCTAGACCTTCAAGTATTATTTATGCAGCCTTAGGGCATAAGCTCTTACCCACGACCAGGGGGAGCCAGTTGGGGTCTCTGGCTGGTCTTCCTCCTCAGACGACATCCTGAGCCGATAATTCTCCCCCGTTCTTTGCATTGGCTGCTACAACCACTCTTGATTTTGGCCATATACAAAAATGCTTCCTTCAAGCTTTAGCTCTTGACAGCAGAGCTCCAGAGAATATAATTTGCCAGCTATCATGTTTGCTTGCTAATTTTACCTGCTGAAGTTCTTGGAAGCACAGTCAGAGCAAGAAACCTGAGCTCAGTAAACCAGAGCACACTTTCCTTGCAACTGACTCCTCAAGTGTCCTAATTAAGTCATAAGGTTCAGTGAAGAACTAGAGGCTGACAAAAACAGTCACTTAAGTCACTTCAGTCAGTATCAGACATTATTTTTATGGTCAGACAATTTGCTGAGTTATAAATTCCATGAACAGAATATAAGGAATTTTCACTGCCAGCATTTTATCACCATCATTAATCCTATTTAGTTCAGATTTCTTTTCAAGACAGGTTCTCCATGCCAGCATCTTACTCTGCCACTCTGCATGGCCACACAGCTCCACATCCGTGGCTGCCTGGGTGTGAAAGCAGCACAGCTTTCCTGTTACCCTCTGCAATCAAGTCTGACAAGGGCTGATTTCTTTCTATTTGTTGCTTTTACTCTCCTGTTGCTGTTGGGCTCATACCAGAGCGCAGAACCCAAGATCTCACCCTATGTAGCCTCTGGCAGCTGGCAGGAATGGCAGCTTTGTCTCCAAGAGCAGCCCTAGGGAAGGCTTTGTGCCTGCACACCTATGATAGACTTTCCAATTCACTGTCACCCTGGGGATCAGGGTACCACCGTGGCACAGGCTGGGGATTGACACTGTTGTTTTCAACAGCAGCACCATCTGGGCTTGGCTCTGCCACCTTCCTGAGCCCACACTGCAAGGTGCAGGGTTTGTTCAAGTCTGGTGCAGCCTCCTGAAACAAGTAACCCTTGGCTCTCAGGGAGAGCAGAGCCTTCCAGCTGAGGAGGAAGCTCCCTGCTGTCTGGAGTTGTCTGGGGCTTTGGGAGTGATGGGAACAAAACTGACACAGCTGCCCAACTGCTGCCAATGCCTGACATGGCAAAGGGAAGGTCAGTCTGCCTCCCAGCACAGGCATCAGGGGCAAGCAACACCCTCTGGGCTCACTCCAGTCACCCACTGGGCTCACTCCAGTCACCCACTGGACCTGTGGGAGCCCCCTGGGCTGCCCTCAGCATCCCTCCTGCTGCCTCCTGCCCATGGAACTGCCACTCTGGCCCACTGGTGCCAACCCCAGAGGGACCTCCCACCTGAAGGGTGGGTTAGGCTCACAGGACATTGGTTTGGAAAGCATCTGCAAGAGACCTGATTGTCAGAAGGACTGATGCTTAGACTCTGTCACTTTAGGAGCACAGAATGTGAGGCAGCCCAAGAGACAAGTCACTCCCAGGCTCCAGGCTGACCCTTCCCAGGGAAAACAGCACAGACCCTCACTTACTGAGGTGCTCAAGTTACTCGTTTCTGTTGCACACCAAATGGTAGGACTGTAAGCACAGAACCCCATTTATGAGCTATCTGACAGATCACATTTTCTTTTTGGAACAATTTCAGGGAAAGAAATGCAACTCCAGTCTTCTCAGCTAAGCAGAGAAAAATCACAC